CTTCTCAAATAAAACTTGGGTTTTCTATTCATTCGCATGTATGCATAATATCATAGACTCTTGTGATTGCAACGGAACGGTTTTGTTATATGTGCACGCACAATACTATACTATGGTTCACCAACGAATATCTATTCAACCTATAATGCTACTAAAATATATTACAAAATTAATTTATACACAGCCAATATTGATGTAATAATTGTATGCTGTACAGGAGTAATCCCGGCATCCCGCATATTTCTTTGCTCGTTACAAATTTTGTATGTATATAGTATAAAATAAATAATATTATGACTAAATAAATATATTGTTAAATATATATATATATATACTGTACATTTTCGTGCTGTTACAAATTATAGTTGTAACTCATATGTTGGACCGTTTAAAAAAACGTTTGACAGCTCGAAGTAGGCTATTATTTTTCAACGTATAGACGCAGTAGAAAAAAATGATAATAATATATAATAGTATATAATTATATAATAATATATAATTTCACTAATCGGTGTTACAGTTGAAGTGGATAACATAAACGGTTACGTTTACATTAGATAACATAGTTAGGTACACCAATATTTGATCCTAATTTACAAAGTCAATTATTAAAACAAACTATTTTTTTTATAACTGTCGTCATAAAATGATAAAGTACAATGATTTAATTTAAGGAAAAAAATCCAGTCGAGGGCCATTTATTGTACACGTATCTAACATAGAGCGGTTCACAAATTTTAACAAATTGCATTTTTAAAAATATTTTCTAATGAGACTTATGAGAATAATATATGTATAGTACCGATCTATAAAACTAAAATATGGAACGGTCCCATGATAGTGGATTTGTCTTAACCCAGTCCGACCTCAATAATCATATTAAGTCCGTTAAACCGTGTGTTGTAAATAAATATATTACAATCAAAAATCAATTTCCACGTACCTACCTTTAAGGCAAAATAGAATGATAGTAATATAATGAAATTTTAACTACCGGGTGTATATTATTATATACATAATATTCATTTAAGCGATTATTTTTGCGTGTTGCACTATGTTTGCCATTTCTCACCGGCTTTAAGTGTTGGGTGTTATGCTTATACAACGACCGGCGGTGTAGCGGTTGGGGTGGAAACTGGAAGTGGGTCGAGGGAGGCCGAGGATGGGACGATAGTACTGCAGTACAGATATAGAAGTGTGTGCCAATTAAACGTTTCACGAATATTACTCTATTTACCTAAACTGTTACAATCACGGCATGCTACCCTTTCCCACGAGTAATTCCTGTAGCGTTGTTATTAGTTTCTGTTGTATACCGATTATAATATAGTCAGGCAACAGCAGTCGCCACGGTTATAATTATTTTTACATATTAAGTTTACAAAAAATCAAGTAAACGCGTTAGCTTATGTTATGATACCGGAGCCGAGAAAATATTGGTAGATTTACAAAATTAAGTTTTGCTTAAAAACGACTATTTCGTTATTGTTTTCGTGGTTTGATTCATAAATGTGCTAACTAGAGTATAACTCACCTCAATCTTCAGCTATGAACGGAATTCGGTAAAAATGTCTGTGTACATAGTATTCAGAGGAAAAGGAATTACTAAGTATAAAACAATTAAAACATCAAATGTATTTAATTTATATAGTAAAGAACTAGAAAGACATTTTTTTAAAGCTATGGCTTTAAAACTTGAAAGTTATTTGAATTATTTGTGTGTTTTTATATAATTAAAATAACATCAGGTCTTCTGGAAAGTATTGTAATTGGATAGTTTATAAATGTTTTCAAAATGATATATTTTTTGACTACAGGAGTATTATTTCAAATAAACTTAATATATTTATTAACGTAACATTTTTTTTAAAATTGACTTTTAAGAGTCTCGGGTGTTGGATTATACAAATATTACATAAATAGTTTATATAATTCAGTTATAAGTGTTTCATTAAGAAAAAATAAAAGTACTGTAATAAGACTAATAACAAGACTGAGAAACGTCCAACAGCCAGTTGTATGTAAAAATTATTTTCTAAATAATTTATAGGTTATTAATTAATGCAAATAAGTTTGTGTAAGTTTTATGAGTATTATATAGTTATAAATATTTGATCTGTAGGTATGTGATTATTACAATACGAAATAATAAAAAATATATGAATATTATTTTGTGGTGTAAAAATTACCAAAACTAAAAACTTTTTTGAAAGTAACTTTGAGTTTTTAGTTTTGACATTTTTGAAAGTTCCACGAATTAGATAGGACGTGAATAACCATTAAAAAATCAAGATAATGAATTAGCCATTCAAAACTATAATGCCTACTCATTCCACTATAAATATATAATGTATTTAACGTTATTAATTATTAAACTTGGGTCTAGAGTTCAAACTATACACATGCCAGAAGTATCACGGGTGTGTCATATTATGTTTTATGCTTTATGAATTATGTATAATAGATATTAAAGAAAAGTATATTATTTTGAGAATCTGAATTTTTGAACCTAATAAAATATTATTTCTTTACATATTAGGTATTGTTATTATTATTTTCTAGCAAACTTACAGCTATTTACAATCGCTTATATTTTTTTCTTTTTAATATATTTCTCTGGGTTTTCAAAAAAGGGAACTAGAAAGAAATAACTAATACCATTCGTCCGACAACCGCAGTTTGATTATCATCAAATCATAAAGATATAAGTTGTGCCATTTTTTTTTTTTTTAGTTAGTTTTTCGACTTGAGTTAATTTTTGCAAAAAATCGACAATAGCCCGCTTTTAGATCCGGGCCAGTAGTCAGTTACAAAATTATAATAATAATATTATTATGTACTACCGCGAGTTCTAATGACGTTTTGGGCCCGAGATTAACTTCTATTTGCATATTATTATAAACTCTGACTCATGGACCATCGCATCGTTTAAATATTATTAATATACGTGTAACGCGCGTACAACCATCGACACGGTTTATCCATCAAAACGCCGTGTTTTATTTGACGTATGTGCCCAAGTCCGGGCATGATATTATTATTTTCTACTTTCACGCACGGCCGTGTGCGAAAAGCGATCGTTTAACCCGTTCGTTATTAATAATTATTATAATCGTCACGATCGCATCCCGGCCGCGGTACACTTGCTCTAAAACGGGCAGCTTACACGAGCCCGGCTGTGCCAAAATCTATTAACGCTTTATATACTATATACACATACATATGTACGATAAACCGTAATAATAATTATTCATTACATCCGTGTACGCCTTAATTTTGACATATCCTTCCGACTCCGTACTTAATACTATTATATATGTTTATATATACATATATGAACCGTCCGTTTACACGTGTATACCGCGAGTCTAACACACACACACACACACGCGACGATAACGTGTATTTTTTTATTTCAATTTTCGACTTTGGCGACCGTCGAATAACCTTTTTTTAAGGGTATGGAAAAAAAAACATTTATTTTTTATTTTTTTTTGTCCGTAAAAGTTGAAACCCAACGCGACCGACCGATCATGTACTGCGAGTCTTCTTCAAACCGTGGATTACGCGGTAAGGTTTTTTATTTTTATTATAATTTTGTGTTTCTCGTCCGGATATTTCCGAATAATATCATGTAATCCGATTCTGGAGTTCAGATACAACTTACCCGAGCACGTCGGACGAGCCGTATCGCATGAACTTTTATTTTCGCAAAGGGTGCCGAACCCGTATGGGAACAAACAAGCATATAATACGAGGATAAAATAAAAATAACATTTCGGCTTAGCTGGTTATACATTTTTGTATGCTTGTAAATAAATATATATATATGTATGTATACAGCAAAAACAGTATACGATACCTACATCCTTGTTAAAACATTAAATTATGTCGAACGGAGGATTACTACTCCTACTTATATGATACCCTCGGGGTAATGTTATTGATATTATGTAATGCACAGTTTATTGTTATAAAAAAAAAATGTATACTTTAGTATTTTATATTCGGTTCAAGCTTAATACCTAACCACACGAATCCACATGAGCGTATAATACAAATTTGCGTACAGCGTGTTATAAGCTTAGTTCGTCTTCTTTATATACAGTTCAAATATTTATTTATTATTCATGCGGTTTGGTTATATTATTTCATTGTTAATAATGGATTCAGTGGTACTTATCGGAGTCCAATATCATATCTCAAAATACATTCTGGCTGTACCTACCACTGCATCTGTTGTCGCTTTAATTTTTAAATTTTAATTCTTTCTAATTCCCTTTATTGAAAACCCAGAGAAATATATTTAAAAAAAAAAATTATAATCTATTTTAAATATCTGTAAGTTTGCTAGAATATAATAATAGCAAAACCTAATATGTCAAGAAATAATATTTTATTAAGTTCAAAAATTCAGATTCTCAAAATAATATACTTTTCGTTAATAGCTATTATACATAAATCATAGAACATAATATTATAAAATTAAATTTAACGTGTTGCAAATAAAACGTTGGTTTTTCAGTATATCTTGTCAACGTTTCTATTGTAATTGCAACGTAGTTAAATACGGTCCATAAGAAAACATCCCAAGACAGACCGCGCCAAATAAATACGAAAACAAAGCACATAAACGATATAAAAATCTTCATTCTTAGTCTCACGTTGTCCGCATAATCGCCAGATGGCTTATAAATGTAACTAAAAAATTCATAAGACATTACAATATGCATAATAAATAAATGTTAATTAATTATGTTATTATTATTAACATAATCCCATTAAGTTGTGTATAAGATTAATATTAAATAATAGAAATACTTTTTTTTAGATAAGAGATGTATAATTATCCGACCATACTCGTAATGATTTTATCTATCTGGTTCACGTGGTTATTATATTTGTATATGATATAGCAATGCATATTACATTTGTAATTGATGTAATTAGTTCTATATAAATATCCTGTAAAAAATTCAAATTTTAGTATTGCGGTGCAATAGGCCTATCTGTTTAGTTCAATGCCAAAGACACTGTATTGGGATCTATAAAAAATAGTTAACGCGCAGTTTTGACAGGCCTACGTACACTTGTTTTTTGTATATTGTAATACGCCGCTGGTATTATTATTATTGTTTTATACACATTTTAGACGTAAAAAAAATAGACGCTTCTTAATAATGACGTGTTTGACGACTGTTTTTCGGGCAATTGTTCTATTATCTGCATTGCAATTATTATCGTCGCAAAAGAATGGCAACGACCAGCCGATAGTCGGAATTTTGACTCAAGAAATCAAATGGTCAGTATTAAGTAAAAGCTACCCTGAATTACCACTTAGCACGACTTACATAGCTTCTTCGTACATTAAGTCTGTGGAAGCCTCAGGAGGTCGAGTGATTCCGGTTTTCACCAATAAGTCACTAATGTATTATACGTAAGTACATACATATCATTACCATAAGCGCCGAAATAATAGTTAGACATATTTTACGTAATATTTGGTGGTTTGGGTATTTTAGATTTTTTTTTTAATATAAATCCATAAAAAAAGTTTTCAGCCAAGTCTGCAACCACGAAAGAGCATTTTCACGTCTCGTTGAAGTACCGAATATATTTAGAGTAGTAGTGGAATTATAGATAATGATATAGTATATTAAGAAGCAGTAACAAGCTGGTATATTAAAACATCAAGTTTCTGGTTAATATTGTAGTGTTTAACATCTGGCTTAAAACAATTCATAGAGAATTTAGGCCCTTAAACTATTTTTGAATTTATCATTCAGTTCTAATTTGAACGTTGAACGTACAACATATCTCTTATCTCTTACCCTTATCTCTTACCCGGATCTCCTACCCCCTATCTCCCACCCCATGTCTCCTGCCCCTATCTCCCACCTTAGCTTCTACCCCCTGTAACGCTTTTGTAACGAACGCTTTTTTCGGTTATGTATCACAGCTAATTCCCACCTCCAACCCCATCTCCGTGTGGTAACGCTTTTTTCGTTATACGTTTTTGAAAACGCTTTTGTAAAGACCGCTTTTTTCGGTTATGTGCTAGAGCTAAGACATGAAAATGTCCTAAAAATATAAATTTAAAAGGTAGATGGGTTATTAATCGTTTTTGGCTTTTATGATTTTTCGGGGCCTCCGATTATTGTTGCACACAATACATGGCAAGCAATTTGTTGTCGTGACAAATATTTAATTTAACGAAAACCCATTATAATATATGGTATTATTTTTTTGTTTTTTCCTTATAAAAAAAATATTTTAGCCCAGTTTGCAACAACTAATTTTTTGAAGCTTTTGAGATTTAAAACTAGCTATTGGCAATACTAGACTAGGAAAACGAAATGATTGGCAACATAGCATACGACATGATGATTAAATAATAGGTCAGAGTACCTTTTTATAGTGTTTGCACAATACACTAGATATGTAATAAATTCACAGATTGCAAGCGCCGAAGAGAGTTTGGTTCAATACAGTGTGGCCCTTAAAAGCAAAACAATATTTTCATACTTTTTTTTAAAATATGAGACTTGAAGAATGTCGTTAAAATAAATTTTGACCAAAAATTTTACGTTTCTATAATGTATGTTCAAATAATTGTTAAAATTATTTACAGCTTAATTATGACCAGGGTCTCTTTGTTATACAACACATTCAGCCGGTTTCACCAACATTTGTTAAGAATTTAACTAATTGTTAATTATATTTAACAACTAGTTAGTGATAATTGGGTTTCATCGAGATTTGTTAGCTTTAACATTAAAAGGCCCGATTAAGTAAGTACACATCTATAATACTTTTTTTTTTTTGTAGCGAAGTAGTAATGCAAGTTAATGGAATTTTAATACCAGGTGGAAGTGCCGATGAAACTTTTGATTATGGGATAGGCAAATCAGTGGATATGATTTTCAAAATAGCAAAGACTGTAAGTAACACTGAAGTATTTTTTTTATGCATAATACAAAGGGAACTGATGAACCTACTCATTTAATAATAGTACTTTTATTGGTAAAAAATCATTTACGGAAAATATTTTAGGGGTTAAAAATTGACACCTACCCCCCTCCCCACGGTAAAACAAATCGATAAACAAATTTCTCATTTAAACCTCAATATAATATCAAGAAAAAATCTTGAAGTATTTTCGAAGTGGATTTAAGGTCTTGAAAATAAGAATTAAGGTAGAATTCTGAATTTCCTTATTATTGTACAAAGGGAAAAATCAAAAAAAGTAATTAAACCATTTCTGATTTTCTTTGAAAGTAGTTTTATCGCTTCTAAGCAATCACAACCAACCAGTAAAGCAAAGACCCCACAGTACTGGTATTTTATTAAAATTTTGACTTGATCACTTATTTTTAATATACTACTAAAATCTAAAGTAGACTTAAAAAAAATAAAAAATAAAATTTTGTTTACATGAATTAATAATTCCTACTCTTTGTCATACAAATAATACAGCATTATATGGCTAAAACTAATCGAATTTGTATTATTGAGTATTAATTACATTAAATAAAAATAAAACAATTTTAATTTACCTATCTACTCTAAATGTCAATTTTTATGTCAATAAATTGTACGTTTAAGTAGTCTAAATCATTTGTATTTTGCTAGAGCAAATAATTTTTAATATTTTAATATAATCAATGAACATTAAATACTTTACTAATATAGCATATTTTAGATAAATACCGCTGGCGATTACTTTCCTATTCTAGGCATTTGCCAAGGATTTCAACTTCTCTTACTAAGTTCAAATAATGGAGCATCACCGCTAACAAAGTGTCGATGTAACAACCTCAATACGCCATTGAATCTAATTTCAGACATGGAAGCTAAAAGTGTTTTATTTCAAACTATGCCAAACAATATTAAAGATATATTGCTGTCTGAACCGGTTACAGCAAATCATCACGAGTAAATCATGAATATACACACATTTATATTTGTTTTATGACTAATATTATTCACCTTTGTTGTTAGTTGGTGTATGACGAGAAAAAACTTGACTTCTACAGGTTTAGATTCATTTTGGAATGCAATAACAATAAATAATGATAAAGATGGTCTCGAATTTATTTCCACGATAGAAAGCATACAATATCCATTCATAGGATTACAGTTTCACCCAGAAAAAAATGCCTATGAATGGGAACTAGATGATCCGCACAACTGGGAGGCTATTATCACAGCACGATACTTTTATGATTTCTTTTTAAACAAATGTCGTAAAAGTAAACATAAATATATTAGCAAAAAAAAGCTGAAAAGAGATTTAATATATAATTACCAAGAAACATATGTTGGAAATGTTACAAATGCTATTTTCGAACAAGCATACTTTTTTAGTGACAGTACAATAAACAATTACTTGGAAACATGATCTCTTGACACCTATTTCAACATTTTATTCTTCACTTGATTATGTTAAGCATGACATGTGTTACAATAACAAATATAATTAATGAAAGTTTAAACTGTTTAACTTACTTTTTTAGAAAATCATTAAGTCCTTGATCAAAGCTACATATCCACATACCAGAGAACAAATGAATCCTTGATATGCACTTCGGTGGCATAGGAGGTGTTGTATAATTATCAAATTGAGCAATTGTAATGGCTATGCCGTAAACAAATGTGTAGGTATTTAATAAAAAATAATTGTCCCATGATAAAACCGAATCCGCTAAGTGCGGTGATTCCAAAGTTTTAAATCACCATTGAGGTAAATAAAAATTGTTTAGAACTATAATTATTCAAATACATTTAACTTTTAAATTAAGTTGTTCTGGGTAACCCATTTTTTTAAATTATGTTCTAAAAAACAGTTTTGTCGATACGGTGTTTTTTTTAAATTAGTATGTCAAACGGGTAAATTTTGCCCATTACATATCTAAACCAGTATAATCCAGTAATTAATTTATAATAAATGTAAACGTTTTTGGCTATTTCGTTTATTTTATTTTGATTGGTTTTTACATCACCTAAATTCCTTAGTCGTTAATGTTAAAATATGTTTTTTTTTTAATGCTTAGCTATTATCTCTAAATAAATTGGTTTATTTAGTTATTTAGCTCTTTTTTTCATCCTATAACACCCTAGACGACACTGAAATATTTTCGTACCACTTAATGTTTTGTTTTTTAACTGGTTAGACAAATAAACTAGTAAAATACACTTTAAAGAAGGTTGCTGTGTGCTACAACGGGTTCGCTTTTTGTATTGTGTACAAAAATAAATTCAATAGTGTAGGCTGAAAATATTTCTGAACATATCGTGTTTAGATATACAAATAAGTTTTGAAGTAACTTCAAGGGGAACGGTCGTGTATTTTACAGTCGAGCGATCCGAATCGCTGTTGTTTTGTGGAAAATTCAAACCAACTTTTACAATTTTTCCAACCCCGTTATGGTAAAAAAACTATGTATAAATGTATACACACATGATATAAGGATGTGTTAGTGGGATTGTTTTTTTTTTTACTTGTGATCGAAATCATCCGAATTCCACGCCCTAATAAATTTGCTCTTGTCAACATTGTTTCCGATAATTAGAAAACTTACTGGTGGGTGATCACTTTCCAAAAGTTTCTGTTGATTTATTGAAGTGACTACCACGTCGCAGGACGTGTAAAAATAACTGATTAAACTAAAAGGTCAATAAAAAAATATATAAAATTAAAACTAAATTAAACAATGTATAAAAAAAAATTTAATTAAAACTTGCCTCTTCCGTTATGGAATAAAAACTAACGAATTCGCTTAAATTTACATTATTTAACGGTCAAAACTTTTGTCATGCGAAAGTCGGTTTGGTGTACCTAAGCTAATTTTTAACGAAGTTTACACACTCTTTTTGAATACACAATATTTTGTATATAATTTACTTTTATTTTTTTTTAATGCTACTGTTTTTGTGCTAATTAAAACTACAACGAAAAAGGATAATATGTTAAATTACAATTCATATATTAAAATTAACGCTGTAGTGAGTACACATACTCAAAAAGTATGCAGTGCCAAATTAACCTAACCTAAGCTAATAGTTTCATCTATCATTTAAATATAATTGATAAAATTACTAAAATGTTTAAATTGAAAATGTTTCACTTGGTCAATTGTACTCGTATATTTATTAACTATAAAACCAGTTGCCACCTGTCTTCATTTTTTTGGATAGACTCATTGGAAACCAGTGTTGGGAATTATCTAGATAAATTATTTAGATAAAAAATTGTAATTAACATCTTATCTAGATAAAAAAAAGTAAATCAGCTTATTATCTTATTTAGATAAACAAATCGGTTATCTGAGGTAATTAATCTAGATAGAAATTGTAACTATTTTTTAAGTTATTTATTCGTGGGTTTTACAAAAACAGGTTTCAGGATCCGACGAAACGCATAATGTAGTCCTAGCCTAAAAATATTAATATACCTAGGTCCTAATGAATAGTGATTAGTGTTATAAGAATATATTATTAATACATTGGGGTTGGCTTGTTAGACAAGTTCAATATTCCATTGTAATCCAATGTATTTTAGTCGATTATACAAAACGTCTTTTACCTATTTTTAATAGGTAGAAGTAGATAAGAGTTATATATGTATTATCGTATAATTTATTATGGTGTCCAATGGAAACTGACTAGGACTAATCAATTATGAATGTATGTTACATTCACATCTATAATGCACTGAAATTGGAAATAAATCTAAAACGGTTTGAACCGGATGATTACAATAATTTCAATCTTGGTTGCCACTTTCCTCTTATTTCTCTGTATCCTGTGTATTTTATTTAAAAATAATAAAATGTAGATACAGCAACACCGTGCAACACAGGTACAGGGAATTTCAATTTCCGATATCGCATGATTAATTTTGACAGGTTTTTTTTTAGTTTAGTTATATTAAAATGTCCACTTGTAAAGTCACCGTGTTTCGGGTTTTGTTGACTTTCTGATCGAATGAAACCGAATTTTTGATTCACAATGCGCTGGGTCCGTGTTTACACTACAGTACAATGTCCACAAATGGTAAATTGTTTATGACTGTTTTTTAGCTTAAAGGTTTTTTTTGTCCTTACGGGTAAATACTTTTTTATAATTCAATTTTCAATCTTCTATATTAAGGTTTATGAAATATCAACGAGTAATAAGGCTGCTTTAATTTTTTAAGGAAATCAAACAAGACCGTGTTTTTGAAAAATCAACGCCGTTAATCAAAACGTAGCGCTTATATTGTTTAAAGGACAGGTGTGTTGAAATTATGTTTGTCAACTACATAAAAAATGCAAGTAGAATATTTATTATCGTGCGTTGAATGATTTGGCTGGTAAACATTTTTCACGGATAGACTTTTCAAAATTATTACACAGAGACACTATACAGATATGACCTTAAATTCGACCGCAGACCATCTATACCATACTTAGTGCAGAGAATTATTATTTAAAATTTTAGTATTTTGATTTTGGTCGACCAATGATTGTGTGCTAACTGCTGTATACAATTTTAATATTTTTAAATACGTACATGATATCATCGGATAAGTTGTGCAGCTTATACTATATGTAACTTTCGATTTGATTAGTTGAATAATCAAAAGACTGAAACTCAAAGACAATTTTGCACCTCCAGATTTGACTTACAGACTTGATACAATATGTAGACGTAGTTTTGTTTGTTGGCAAAGACAAGGGGTTCCAAATATAGTACCTATATTTACTTCGTTCCAATTTTTTATATCACATTTTTAAGACAGCGTGTGTTGCGTTTTTAATTGTATTTTTACTTGTCTAACTCTTACACCGAACTAACATGGTGTGTTTGTTGGTACAATATTACACGAAGTCCCTTTCATTGCCTTTCTGTACGCTAATAGCCGGCCATGTACCGTCGTCTAACTTAACAATCATGCCAAAGTGTCATTTGCTCGCCTCGCGGTTTTCAATTATTCTTGACTAATGAACAGTAGGTAACGTCGTCCAAAGGTGGTTATGTGTGTGTGTTTTATTCGTTTTATTTGTGGTTTCGCGAGACGGGCATTTAAGCGCGCTTAAAGCATCTAAATGGGTTCCGCCGGGGTAGCGGCAAGAGAAAATACACCCCCGGTACCAGTCCCCGGCCGACTGTCGTCATTAAAAACTATACCTGCTAAAAACCCACTCGTTAATCGACCCAACAACACGGTACTGAGGAAAAAAATAAAACCATTGTGCGAGTGTGTTCGACCTTTGTTATTATTCTTATATATCGCGCAAATGTATACGTGCAATGTGTATGAAAAAGTCGAGTAATTTTTTTTTGTGACTTGTAAATGAGACCTATAAGCGGAACGCGTGAAGAGTGCAAGGAAAACGTTAATGCGTTTTCCCATTATAATAATAATTTATAATAGTATGTATATAATATTATATAGGTGTATTCGTAATAAGTAAGTTCTAAAGCTATATACCTACACGCATATTATAGGATATGTGTGTACACGTTTAATTTGCACAAGCTCAAATCCTATTTAATTTGTCCGTCTATTGTTTTCATACAATAGTTTTCAAAGCTTTCCCGACGTTCACTAATAACGTTTGGCCTGTTTGTTCACCGTACGCCACATCGGTACAACGACTGCAATATTATTATGGACTAATAAGTGGACTGTTTTTTTTTTCAAAAACAATTATAAGCACTCTTTGGCTTAATCAAATAAAAAAACCAGGCAGGAAAAAGTCTTAAAAAACAAATCTACTTTTGAATTTACCTATTAGCCCCATACTATAAGTATTTAAAATATTATTTAAAAACTATGAGCTTAGGCTATAACAACATATAAGATAATATAAGGATGGAACAATCCGTTAACATCACCTGCTACACCCTCCTCTTCGTCTTCCTTTATCCTAAATTTGATTGGATTATTAGGTTGGCAATCAGCCGTTGTAGTTCTGAATCCATCTCATAAAAATTCACATAGTTGAGTTTACAGCCAGTTAACAGGTTTGAAGGTGGTAAATATATTTGCAATTAATCAATTTACTCCATGAAAAAGTTCATTAACAGGGTTTTGTTCTTTTTTAAAATACACTTATACTTATGTTTCAACTATTTTATTTATATGTACATTTTAACTAATGATTTTTTTTCCAAATTGATTAGCTATTTTTTAGTCTAATTAATTCGTTTAATGTGGTGTTTTATATTTACCACGAAAAAAAATTATACAATAATTACTTTTTAGGCTATTAACAAACGTCGTTGATGCCTTTTTTTTTAATAATAAAAAAAATAATAATTACTTTTTTTAGTAATTTCCTGAATTTTAAACTAACAGAGAAAAGGTCTTGATTTAAATTTTAATTTTATTCGGCTCTATTGTACGGCAGGTAAGTTGTAAAATTGTCTATCCGAGTTGCCGTTTCGTGGGAACTGTTATTTAGACTAGAAAAGGTCGTATTTTTAAATTAAATTTTCTGATTATAAAACCATAATTGTTATTTAAACATAGAATTTAAATTTAAAGTTTTAGATGTAAGGCAGAATAATGAAGAAGATATTACAGCGAACATACACTCAAATGTAGTAAGGTATTCAAAACGGGTTCAGCAGCAGTTTTATTTTATTTTTTTCTAACTAGCTACATCATCAATTTACAAGGAAAACACGCTAAAATATAATTATTTTACATAGTTTCGTGTAAATTATGAGAAAAAGAACAGTAAACTGGCATTATAACATAATTACAACATAATATTATGTTCCTAAAAACGAGGTAAAGAAAAACTAGATAACTTTCAAACACCTTCAAATGACTAAGTGATGTT